CCGGGTCAGCCATTTCCGGTGTGGGCTGCTGACTTTCACGGTTTCAAACAGTTTCAAAAATTCGTAATTTCGACTTTTGTATAGCAAGTTATCAAAATAAAATACCCTAATTACTTCGAAAATGGCATGAACAATAGATGTTTTATTTTTGAGAAATGGGGCGAAAATACAGCGATCTAAAAACAATCTGGACGAGTTCTGTCTGACGGCCTTTCAGACAGTTCGGAAATTTCAGAATTACGATTTTAAAATATAGACTAGCAAAACTAAAATACGCGAGTATCATTGAAAATAGTATGATTTAAGTGAAAATACGATAATGCAAACAACAAGTGTTTTTATTTTCCCGAAAACGGGCGTAAATGTGGCAGTCGCAGGATAAGTATTAGTCAACCATTTGTCACCGCACATAAAATCAGCCGAGTAGTTAATTTATACTCATGAAAAACAAAACAAATTGTAACTCTACATATAATAAGTGTCACCTAATAACCAGTACAAAAAAAATGGATCTTGTATTGAAATTAAAAATTCAATGTAATGAGCACAAGCACTGAAAGACGTGTTGCAAACTGCGCGGCCGATTGATTGTGAGTTTGCTTGATCATTTGTTTATAACTGTAGTAACCCACGTTGCATGCCAGATGTCGTGAAATCCTTTGTTTTATAATCCAGTTGCCTGTCCCTCTCTTTCTAAGGTCTATGGTTAAAGGGGCACTTTCCAGTTAAGCCTAATCTCACAACAAATTTTCTTTCTGGATTAAAATAACAATGGATAACAAAAGATAGATTAACATTGTAAACAACATAAACAAATCCATGGGATTGAGCGGTTCCCCTTTAACAATTCCTTTTTTGAATGGCTCCCATGTTCTTAATTCTCAACCTTGACAACGGTGTATCCCCCAGAGTGTACTTTCTGTTCAGCTTTTCTTTTATCGTACCATTTGTGTATGATATATTTGCAATATTTTATAATAGTGCAATGCCATGTCAATATGACCATATGATGACAAATAATACTTTTTTTTTATTCCTGTTTACAATCTGGTGATATGGAGATCATATTCTGAATGAGTAATTTTGGATGATTTTCATTTTAGTACATCACGGAATTCTGGCATAACCTTTTAAGTTTTACACAAGTTTGCAATAAGCTCTTGTTACCACTTGGTTATCATTTATCTGTGATATTGGTACATATACATCGTTTGTAACCAACCATGCTAATTGTTGTCTATTGGCAACAGTTTTGGAACCTTACTAAAAGTTTCCTGTTGAAACAAATGAAAAGGGTCAAAGGGTCTTGATACATGTACTACAAACCCATATTCCCTTCATTTTTTATAAATTTCAGTAGCAGTTCAACCATCCAATCAATGAGCACAGTACATACCGGTAATGACATCATTTGAAAATATTCAAGTGTTATTCCATCCATCAATAGAAATCTCTCATTTACATTTTTAAATTTAAAATGTTTAAAAAAAATTGAAAGAATGTGTTTGTTATGCTGATAGTAAAAAACATGCTACATCTACATGTATAACTTTTACTAATATCCTTTAATTCCTTTCCCAAAGGTACATAGAATTTGCAGACAGTAGACTGGTGAATTGATGACAGAGATCAGAGATTTATAGTTGTCACAATGTATTCTACGGCAAATAAGAAGTCTACTTTACCACGTGGTCCACGAATGAAACTGAAATATCAATCGTTTTATATCGCGTTGTTTACAATGATTCTCTTTGGATTGATTACCACCGGTCTGTTTCAATTCTGGCCGCATTCAATTGAATCAGACCACAATACCCATGGATTTAAACTTCGCAATATCCAACAGCTGTCAGAGGTAACCATAACAACAGAAAACTCTATCCCGGAAAAGGGTGATTTGAATTGTCGTTTTTCCACCTGTTTTGATGTTTATAATTGTAACTATGAAATTGGACGTATCAGTGTTTACATTTACCCGTTGCGGAAGTATGTGGATGAGAATGGACAAGCCATCAGCAAGCCATTGTCAAAGGAGTTCCATGAGATTTTAGAAGCTATTTCTGAGAGTTTTTATCATACCACCGACCCAGACAAAGCATGCATATTCATACCAGCTATTGATGTATTAAACCAGAATTCACTGAGGTTGCATGAGACTGCACAAGTACTGGCACAACTTCCAAAGTAAGCATCATTGTAATACCTAATATGTTCTATTAGAACTCATCTCCAGTGAAATTACACACTCAAAATCACAATTCTTGTTTAGTGAATTGTTTAAGCATTATTTATTTTGACCATAGAGACACATTTGTAATTTTTACTTCAATAGTGAATACACTATATTTTTTAATAATTTTTGAAATTCATTTAATATTTTAAAAATCTGTTGATTATATCATTCATACTTGTATACATGTATGTATATTAAATATACCTGGTATCGCCTCCTAATGCTATGGGAAGTGCGCCCTCACATCAGGGCAATAATTTCCTGTATCACGCCAGGCCAGTGTGCCCGGCTTTCATCATTCAAAACAAAAACGTGTCATTCTGAATTACGGTACGGCATGTGTTTGAGGTTACAGCATAGTAAAATTGTAATTAAACCTATAAGCTATATGATAAAACCTTTATGGATTGGATACTACTTTTTCTGTCCTCTGTTGTACACCTTATCTGCTCGAGCTTGCGAATAGTACCAATTCAATATTCATTGAAATATGAAATTATGCATACATTTATATTTTTGTTAAGAAATAAAAAAATAATCTGAAATTAGTGTGGTTGCTGCTTTTTGTTTATCACAAATCAGGTTATTAAGCATTACTGGTACATTGTACAGGTATGAACTATTTTACTGTACTCACATGGTTTGGATAAATTTAGAAGATGAATTTATAATGTCATATTGCCCACAGTACAGTCTGAGTGTAAATTAATATTTAGTTGGCTTGGAGCTAGCTTTGGAATCTGTCACATATGTGTGCAAGTACATGTATCTGAATATCTGTCACTTATGTCCCATATTAGTGACATAGGCAAATACTGTATTTCAAATACTACTAGGAATAAGTTGAAATTTCTGATGACATGAATACTCGCTGTAAAAAAAAAAAAAATTACTGATAGTTTTTATGAAAAAGCAATACCGGTGAATGGCCAGCTTGGAAGCTCATCAGAAATTACCAGTTCGTGAACCCCCAGCAAAGTTTTAATACTTAATGTTTATTTTCTTTGTTATTAGATGGAATGAGGGTACAAATCATTTGTTATTTACAATGCTACCTGGTAGCGTGCCCGATTATAATACGGCATTAGACGTACACCGTGGTAAGGCTATCTTAGCTGGTGGCGGGTTTTCCACATGGACGTATCGTGATGGTTATGATGTCAGTATACCGGTATTCAATCCTATGGTAACACATGTGGATTTACAACATAGACCTGACAGGTAAGTAAACATGTCAACTCAATTCCATTTAATATACTCTGTTTCATGTATCTATTGGACCGCGTTAGCGCTCATGCCCGGTCAAGTACCCACTTTTGCGCAATTTTTATATCCTGCGTCACATTCGGCAAAGTGCCACTAATTGATAACATGGTATTTGATCATTGCTTAATAAATACTGGTGATCGTTTTTATAAGATACAGCATGGATATCAACCACCGTGAATATGTTATAAATGCATATACCATGGTTAACGTGTGTAAACTTTGCTTTGACAATGACCTGGTAATAAAAGTAAAATGTGGTAAATATTTCATGCCATATTCAGTTTACCTCTCAAAAATTGCTATTTACCAGTTTTTTGAAAAAAACATGCTGAAATCAATTCCAACCATTTGTATTTCGACATCAATTATTCACTTCAGCATTGCAGAAAGTCTTCGTCAATTTCCGATGAACTTTATTGGTACAACACAGCATTCTGGTTTGTTAATAACAGACTTGACCCATTAGGTCAACGACGTTGTTCCAAGTCGAATCATGAATACATCATGGCGGAAAGTGCTTTTCATCAAGAGTTTGCGTATAATTCAATACATTCCTCAGTGGAGATAATGAAGATTTTGACTGTGTACACTAATGTATTTAACCTTGTAAAATTGGGTGGTATGTAATTAACATTGCAATAAAATGTGCATGTTTTTTGTGACCATTTTTGTTTGTTCATTGTAAAAGTCAATGACGACGCAACAAATTTTGTAATTATATTTTCCCTCAAACACATAATATCCCCCTCAATCTGTCACATGGAGCGAGAATTAAAATTGTCATTTGCACTCTTTTCTGAGGGAGGTGCTCGGGTAAGTGCCAACGCCTAAAAAATCATGATTTTCTGAGTTGATGACCCTGGGCGCTTACGCGGTTCAGTACGGTAATATCTAAGAGCGCTAAAGTCACCTTTCACAGAGTAGAACAGCATAATTTGTTTTAGATTTTTTCAATTTTTTTTATCAAGCCCTATAGCAAGTTGGAAATTATATTGATTTGGTTCTAAATACGTACATGTATTAAAAAGGTTGCAAAATGCATCTCTAAAATCTGTGTCTGTGTCTGTCTTGACCTTCACTTAGCCAGTATGAACCCAGACTACCTACCGGTATGTCCATACTTTGTGGTTTTATCGTAATAACATTGCATTTCTTGCAAACTTAGTGTAGGGTGAATGTTGTCATAATTTAGGTTTTATCATTGTTATTATCATAATTCTTGCTTCTTTTAGTTATGTTCGTAGGTTCTTGGCCATCTCTGCACAGGTTGGAATCCATTCTGATTTTCGACAACAGCTGAATGCGATGGCATTAGACAGTGATAATATCCTGGTTTTAGATGAGTGTCATATTAATAATGAAGACATTTCACCCATGGAGTCAATGTGTCATGGATTGAGACAATTTGCATATCCACAGATATTACAGGTCAGTGACATCTCACCATGGAGTCAATATGTCATGGATTGAGACAATTTGCATATCCACAGGTATTACAGGTCAATGACATCTCACCCATGACGTCAATGTGTCATGGATTGAGACAATTTGCATATCCACACATATTACAGGTCAGTGACATCTCACCCATGGAGTCAATATGTCATGGATTGAGACAATTTGCATATCCACACATATTACAGGTCAATGACATCTCACCCATGGCGTCAATGTGTCATGGATTGAGACAATTTGCATATCCACAGGTATTACAGGTCAATGACATTTCACCCATGGAGTCAATGTGTCATGGATTGAGACAATTTGCATATCCACACATATTACAGGTCAGTGACATCTCACCCATGGAGTCAATGTGTCATGGATTGAGACAGTTTGCATATCCACACATATTACAGGTCAGTGACATCTCACCCATGGAGTCAATGTGTCATGGATTGAGTCAATTTGCATATCCACAGATATTACAGGTCAGTGACATCTCACCCATGGAGTCAATGTGTCATGGATTGAGACAATTTGCATATCCACAGGTATTACAGGTCAATGACATCTCACCCATGGCGTCAATGTGTCATGGATTGAGACAGTTTGCAAATCCACAAATATTACAGGTCAATGACATCTCACCCATGACGTCAATGTGTCATGGATTGAGACAATTTGCATATCCACACGTTTTACAGGTCAATGACATCTCACCCATGGAGTCAATGTGTCATGGATTGAGACAGTTTGCATATCCACAGATATTACAGGTCAATGACATCTCACCCATGACGTCAATGTGTCATGGATTGAGACAGTTTGCATATCCACAGATATTACAGGTCAATGACATCTCACCCATGACGTCAATGTGTCATGGATTGAGACAATTTGCATATCCACAGATATTACAGGTCAATGACATCTCACCCATGGAGTCAATGTGTCATGGATTGCTGTGTTTCCTCTGGGTCTATGAAAAAAATTCTGAAAAGTCAGAATGTGGTACAAAAAAGTTTCTGAAAAGTGTAAAAAAATTCTGAAAAGTCAGAATTGGGTTCCAACAAATTTCTTACTGAAATTGTCACACAACCAAATCATTCACAATGACAATATATTCCTGCAGATAATCAGATTTATTAATAAATCTTTGACATACAATAATCTGGTATTATTTACCAAACATGTTTGAC